AATAAGTCGAGGAATGTCTTACATAATTTATATAGTTCTCATGCATCGCTTAAACAGTAGTAAAGAATAAGAGGATTTATAGAAAATGAAACTTATAAAAGGTGGAGAGATACCCCCCACCCGCCACTTCGACTACTGCATGTGCGTTATTTGTTTATAATTTTTTTTGGTTAAAATTATACAAACGAGTTATGATATCAATAAGTTAATAACAATTCCATATCGAAAGTAATCTGCTTAAAATACCTTATTTTATTCATGGGATACTTTTGATTAAACATGATCAAACTATTTTGTGTCAGCCCAACTGTTAATATGTCGGTATCCAACTAATTTTTGTATTGAAAAAAATATACCCTCGCAATAATATCCACAATATTTTTCGATGCTAAAATATTATTATACTGTGTATATGTATAGCCATGAGTGCTGTAATTGTAATCATATTTTAATTATATACTTCTGAAATTCAGTATTCAGTATACTATGATATACTTAGACATGTATAATTCGATGAATGCATTTTACGAATGCCTATAACGTGTAACTGTAGGACTTGACAAAAGCAAAATCTTTTGAATTTGAAACGTAATAATTTTTTCAAACCTGACAAGTATATTTCTTAAATTATTAAGTATCCATATAATTTTCATAATTTGTGTCATGCGTTTAACAATAAAATTATCAATTTTTTATATTTATTTGTGAGGTATTTCTGTTACACTCTGTATAGCTCTTGAACTCAGATAACTATCTAATTTATGTTTTGGTACTTTATTGTGATGAAAAATAATGTTCAACCTAGCTCCCATGTCGGCCACTATATAAGTAATGCTTTCATATTATGTGGACGTGCAATGAGCTGTATTATTCGTTAGGGGTCGTGTGTACATTAAATATGTCCATGGCCGTATGCTTATTCGAAAACAAAAAAAAAAGATAGCCGATAGGTTTATTATGAATTTCGGTAATAGAGTTTTATAAAAACAACTATAAGTGATCAAAAAATGTGTGCTTTGTTTAAACAAAAATACTTTTCTTGTAGGTACCTACAATATATTTTTGAAAATATTAGATATGGTTAGTTTTCATCTTTATGGATGTTTTTTTTTTCGTATTCATCATACAGATGATGTTATTTCAATTATGATTTATTATTGCTGTATTCGAATTTTTATGGTCACATTACTATTAATTTGATTTTTTTTTTTTATACTTTTATAAACAAAACATTCATGTATCTTTTATTCTCGTGTTATTTTTTTTACATTTGTTGGACTAAATTTTGTTTGTATATTTCAATTTCTTCATGTAGGTTTCTTAGTGTAGGTATCATGATTTAGATTTTTCAAGTTTCAACCAAAACACCGAAAACAGGTAAAAGGATGCCGCTCTGCTGTACATTGGGTGTAGAAGTAGTCTAGACTCTAGAAGGTCGCTGTAATGGCTGGTACTAAATTTTTGAATTCAATAAATAATATCATTGTATACGAAAAATGATTCTAAACGGAGACTGTATGTCAGTCAAAAATATTTTATATTGTTATTATTTATAATTTATACAGGTGGAAAGACGAATTAATATTATTCTTAAATTATCAGTGATGCGGGAAAAATATTATATTTACTTAAGTAAAATTGGTCTGTTTCGGAACAAAATTTAAAAAAATACCAAAAATCGTTATTCTTTGTGTTAATATGTAATTTCGTATAAATTTGAATTTAAAATAACTATAAAAAAGCTGTGTTTATGTTTATTTTTAGATTTTTTGGTTAGAGAATAAAATACTTGTTAAATTTTTTTTTAATTTTCAAGGTTGGTTTAACATTTTTAACCCTTAGTTTAAAATTGAAACAACATTTTACCTATAAAATTATTCGTACATTTTGATGATAAAAATACTGTCAACATTTTAACTTTAAATATTTATAATAAAAACCTTGACAATGTATTTTTAATAGTTTTCAACTGCAATTGTAACAATATATCAAGAGTCTTGAATTAAATGTCCATGCTTTTTGATCCAACCACTAATATTTTATTGACATTTAGAGAAAAAAAATAAAAAATAAAATGAAAATTGAAAATGTCCTTCAACAGCTAAAAAATGTCAAATTATTTTTTAATTTCATCAAGTATATGAAATGATGGAATAAACATATGGTGTGAATTTCAAGAGTAGAAAATAATTCGTTTTTGAATTAAAACAAAATAAGAAAATCGATACTTGAGAAATCCAGTGAACATACAATGTTGTAAAAATTTCAACTTTAAAAGCTCATAAAAATTTAATTTGACTTTCTGGTAGAAAATAGTAAATCGTAGTTGTAAAAAGAAAAATATTTATGAATATTTAACTCAATATAATCTACTAACTTTCGTGGTTTTTACGAATTTTGTCAAAATTCTTAATTCAAACGCCCATAAAAAAATAATTGTGGATTTAAGTTCAATTTTTTTTGTAATTTCCACTAACAACGACTTACGAGACACTTTGTATTACATTTTCAAGTTTCTTGAGTAGCAAAAATTTTTTATCGACATTAGTAAAAAAAACGAAAAGTATCGAAAATGTCATATGCTTACGAATAGTTTAACAAGAGTCGAAATATTTTGGAAAATTGTATGGTGTATAGAAAATATATTAAAATATAGTAAAATATATATTATATAGATTACAGATTCGAAAATTACTGGTCTGATTTGAATAAAAAGTTACACTAATTATTTCACTGGACAAAATTGAACTACATTAAACAACCGGTCTACTGTCAATTAAATTTGGTAACGATGAAACATGGAGGGAAAAATTACCTTCGATATTTCTGTATAAATACCCCACAGTCGATGAGCATAATCACCAGTCACTTCTGTTCTGTTCATTTGATTAAATCAATTAATCCAAACAACACACCAAAAATGGCCGCTAAGGTAAGAAAATTATGAACAGTCTACACGTGTAAATTTGAAAATTTTCAATCGATTCGTCTGTGCAATCGCATCGGTATTATGATATTAGTTCGTAAGACTCATGTTCGTTATTCTTTTTTCAGATGATCATATTCGCTGCCTGTGTGGCCACCACACTCGCCCAATACGCCGCCCCGGCTTACCCATCCCATCACGCCGCACCCGCTTACTCGGCGCCCGCTTACTCCGCACCGAAGGCATACGCCCCGGAACCCACATACGCCCCAAAACCTTACAGCTTCGAATACAGCGTAAACGACCCACACACCTACGATGTGCACAGCCAATCTGAGCACAGCGACGGATACGGCAACGTCAAAGGAACTTACAGCCTTTTGGAAGCCGACGGTTCCACCCGCGTCGTCGACTACACCGCTGACTCTTACGGTTTCAACGCTGAAGTCAAGAAAATCGAAGGACACGGACAAGGATACAGCGCACCAGCCTACAAATCCGCCCCAGCCTACAAATCCGCCCCAGCCTACAAGCCCGCTTACTCCGCACCAGCTTACTCTGCACCAGCTTACTCCGCACCAGCTTACTCCGCACCAGCTTACTCCGCACCAGCCTACAAGCCCGCTTACTCCGCCCCAGCTTACGCTGCACCAGCTCACTCTTACTCCGCCCCAGCCTACGCTGCACCAGCTCACTCTTACTAAGCACCAGCCAACGCTAAACCATCAACATCTAACTATAAATGGTTACTTTAATCATTTTATTAGTTAATTTGACTCTCTCATCACCCGAACATGTTTAATTTATTCAATTGTTAAATTATTTGTCAAATAAATATTAAATTATTTATTTGATTTATATTACAAATCAGTTGTACTTTATTTTCACATTCCTATACCTCTGACGATAACCATCGTCGTATCGTCGTCATCTTAGACCGGGGACAGGAACTTTTACAATTTTGTTGGTTTCAGTTCATCGAAATGAATTTTTCTAAGATCTATATGTGTATTGATAATGTACCTATATACAAAAAATAATATGTGTTTGTGTGTGTGCATTTTAATACATATACAGTGAATGCTTAAATGAATATCTAAATTGTATTGGAATTTAAATAATAATATCGAACTGGACTTGATGGTGGTCAGCTTTTGAAGAATGCTAACGTTCAAAAGCAATTATTTAGAAAAACAGTATCTATTATATGTGATAAAAAAAAATTCATTATGTTTTACGAATTCAAAATATTTGTCTGTCGTTTTCGAACTCATTTGTTACTCAGTAACTTTTAGTTAATTTATACATTGTGAAAAATACAATCCTTATGATAAAAAAATTGCATTCATGGGTTGTATTTATTATGATTTATTTAAGTTTAAACGATGCAAATTGCCATCAGCCATATAGTTCATTATCTAAATCTATCTGTTTGTATTAAGTTAATTAAGTCATGGAATGACTTTTTTATGCCAACCTAACGGATAACTTTTCTTTATCCAACTGATTGAAGTATTAAACAACAAAAGCATTTTAAATAATTTAATTTAAAAATTATAACACAATTGTATTGTCTATATAATTATGGTTATTGTTATAGAAATCATATACTTACAACATCAGTAATCAGTACCAATAATATTATATAATATATAAATTAATGAATGTGTTACACGTATGTAGTTCGTGAATATAGATACTTATCAGAGTATGTTTTGGTACTTTATTATGACGGAAAATAATGTACATGTTATATTATATGTAGGTCACTGTATAGGCATGTTTTAGGTTCGGAGCGGAGCGTTGAATCATTTTACAATGATTTGGGTTTTTGTCTGTCTTAACCTTTTGGTATAGTAAATATTCTTCAATTGTCTTCAACAGCACATTTTCTGATAGAAAAGTGAATCTAGTGGGTACTTACTTCGAGAGGTCAAATTAAAAGAATTTCCAGTTTTTTTTGTTTTCAAAAGTTTCAGGAAAAACAAACGAAAAATTAAGAAAAAACTGAGATTTTTACGAGTAATTGTTTTTGGTGTACCACTAAAAAAAATACCGTAAATACACGAAATGTTTCCTTAATTTGTATATCCTTTTTTTGTACAACATAAAATTCCAAATATTTTGACTCATGTTGTATTATTTATTTATTATAGGTATATGAAATTTTCAATTATTTTTTTTTTCAACTAATGTAAAAAAAATTTTAGCTCAATGAAAAACTCAAAAATAAAATGCAAGCTTAAGTTGTTGTTATTGGAAATTAAAAAAAAAGTGGAATATAAATCGCCAATGATTTATTATGAGCGTTTGAATTTTGAATTTTTGAAAAAAGTCGTAAAAATTTAGAAAATTTGAAAATTATTTTGTGTTAAAAATTCGTAAGAATTTTTCTTTTTATATTTATGATTTGGAAATTTAATGCAAGATTCTAGAAAATCTAATTCAATTTGCAGTTTTTTTGGTTTTTTTGGTTTTTCTATATTTAAATGTCAATAAAATGTTTTTTGTTGCTTGAAAAATCTTGAAAAATTAGTATAAGGCTCATAACAACACATTCATACAATATCAGTTTAAAAATATTTTTGAAAAAATAATCTAGAATTTTTTATAAGCATTTAAAATTTATATTTTGTTGAAATTTCTCAAATTGAAAAAGTACTGATTACTCGGTGGTTAAAAATGTATACAATTTTCAATTTTTGGAGTGAACATTTAATAGTGTCCCATATAAGTAGTGAATTCTGTAACCAAAAAATCTAAAAAATGAATTACGAAGTTTTATTTTATAATTATTTGAAGTTCAAATTTGGAAGAAGTTACTTATTAGAAAAAAAATAGTAATGATTATAGTTATTTTGGTGTAATTCAAAAATATTATTATTGGGTACTTGAAACTTTTAGAGTAGGTATATAATTATGTTTTAAACACACGATTACATTTTAGATGCAATTTTTTCGACAAAAATGATTTTAACTTACTTACTTTATTTTTTTATTTTTATTTTTTTTAATTAAGAAAAAAGTCTCGATAACGTGACCATTGGCTTGTTTTTACATATAATGATAACTTAAATTAGATTGTACAGTTCAGTATCTTTCAAAAATAAAATAATATTTTGGATGGATTTAATTTACTTACTTTAATAGTAATTGTTAATAGTAAAATAGTAAATATACCTATTTAGTAATATTATAGGCTGACAAACCGTCAGCGCTCAGAATCGTTTTTTGTTACCTAAATACGCAATACCTTTTCAATGACGATGTACCTAAACTCAACACCTGATGTACAGCAAATTGGCAAACCTACTTCTCCTTGTTATCATTATAGCTATAAAATATTTCTACTTTTTAGACAGATGGTATATTTACTATTTAGTATATAATATTAATTTCATACTTCAAATGAGTTTTTTTCTATGGAAACATATTTTGAATACATAATAATTGAATTTATAACGATCAGTTAATTAGTAATTACTTTTGAAAGTATTTTTAAATGTTATAAGTGGTGAAGTAGACAACGTTTTGTGGGGAATTTCTGGCCAATCCTCTTCGATTCTTCAAACTAAAATTATTTATAAGATATAAGTTTATAATTAATTAACTGAGAGTTCAAAATTTAAATTTTATACATTGAAATTCTCAGGAAAATATTCTGTTTTAGAATATTAAATTAAAAATGTATACAGACGTTCAAAAAAAAAAATTGTTTTCAGGAACAATGATTAGTGATGACCTAAAATTATTTTTAAATATTTCCCAAAATCATTTTTATTTTTCAAGGCAATGATGAGTGTTTACGTAAGTTTAGAACATATCTTATTACTGTTAGATAATTGATAACAATTAAATATCTTTAAAAGTAAAAGAATTTTCCTAATCGTAATTTATTATTAATAATAAAGAAGTTGACTTTCCAAAATACATATTAAGTATATGCTAATACATAGTATACATTGATTAATATCAATTTAAGATATAAACCTAATACTATTGAGTTTATTAACAATTCCTCATACCAACATTTTTATTATACAACACAGTTATAACGTTTATGATTAATGTAAGTTAAAATACTTTAAGAACAAATGAACGAAAAAGTATAGGTAAAACAATTACAGAGCAATGAAAAAATATTAAACTTGAAAGGAGTAAAGATTTTTGATTACAGATTATAATGAAAAAAAATTCAAAGCATTAGTTCAATACAATTTTCGTTTAGATAGGTAAAATAATAAAAGTGTAGTTGCTATTAAGATATTATTATATCATATAAATAATTTTGATCTACTTATCATATGAAAGGATTGTTAAGTAAAGGGGCGGTAACCATTTCAGCAATACACAGGTGAAAATGAATATGATACGACCGGTTTTAGTATATATTTTATAACCAATAATAACATACATGTGTAACAATCATATTTATTGGAAGGGATGATATCGAAACAAACTTCAACATAAATACGGAGGATCATTAGTGAGCAGCTATCAGTTGAAAGACACAAGACTTCCAAGCACACACAACACAGCTCTAACAATTCAAATAAAATGGCCGCCAAGGTATTTATATTTTATTTGATGACATTATGGCATATTACTATGGAAAACATATCTAACATGATACGTATTTTTATATGATACACGTCATGGTTCATGAGTTTAAAGAAAATTTATATTTTTATTCGATTTAATTATATTTCATTCTCTTATAGATGATCATTTTCGCCGCTTGCGTGGCTTCCGCCCTCGCCCAATACTCCGCCCCGGCTTACAAGCCAGCGTACTCCGCTCCCGCTTACTCGGCACCAAAGGCTTACGCCCCAGAGCCCGCATACGCACCCACACCGTACAACTTCGAATACAGCGTGAACGACCCACACACCTACGACGTGCACAGCCAATCCGAATACAGCGACGGCAACGGTTACGTCAAGGGATCCTACAGCCTCTTGGAAGCCGACGGTTCCACCCGTACCGTCGAATACACCGCCGATGACCACAGTGGTTTCAACGCCGTCGTCAAGAACGAAGGCGGATACAAGGCCCCAGCTTACTCTGCACCAGCCTACAAGCCAGCATACTCTGCACCAGCTTACTCTGCACCAGCCTACAAGCCAGCATACTCTGCACCAGCTTACTCCGCGCCAGCCTACGCCGCCCCAGCTTACCCAGCGCCCGCATACTCTGCCACGGCCTACAAGCCAGCATACAAGCCAGCATATTAATCATTTATCTAGTCATGCCATTGATTACGACAGCCATCTCTCAGTCATATTATTTTGTATAATAGTATCTTTATTGCCTATTCACAAACCATACTTATGTCATCGTTGTGTTTATTTTGTAAATAAATAGTGAATTAAATAATATCAAAAGGTTTTTTACATTTGTCTACTCGAAATTTCAGGTACACCTATCTACTAATTTATCTGCAAAGTGTTCTCCCAATATTTATTTGAATTGTGTAATTATATAATATAATACACTTGTTCTTATCCTTGATTGGAGATCAATTATTATACATATAAATTTAAAAAATTAAGTGTAGAAAAGTATTTATAAAACTAGCCATAAATATATGGCCTCAGTATAATGCTGATCTTAAGATACGTTTAACAAGAATCATTTTTAAAACTATAACATCCCTGGTTATTTTCCAGTAAAAATGCTTTAACATTCAACTTTAAAGGTAGTGTCTGATATAAAATTGAATCTAGTTGGTACTTAGAACTTTAGAAGTACTGACTTACCATAGAAAAATACATATAATATGAGAAAACTGAAATATTTACACAACACGAGTTTTCACAAAATCGATTTTGTACTTTTGTTTTAATAGTTAAATGAATAACATTAATAAATGGAAATATTCAAAAACTTTTTTCTAGACATTATTTAATTTTTAATAATTGTTTGGATATTTTAAACTTTTTGTCTTCTTTTTATATTGTCATTATTGATGTTTAAAATGTACTATTTTTGCAGTCTTTTCTTTTAAATGTATGTTTCTAATTGTTTTCTAAGTAAAAAAATTTCATTAGGTGGTCTTAGAGCAGTTGAAAATATCATAAACATAAAATTGTAATTTTTCATAAACTTTTAACGTTTAAATGTTTACAAAAGTCGTCGCAACCATAAAATACGTTTTTCAGTGTTTTTTTAAAATTTAAAATGCTTTTTAAATGGCGTACTTTTCAGTAGATGTTAACAATATTTTAGATTTTAAATGTTTAATTAAGGTGGAAAAAAAACCTTGATTGATTATTTATTTAAGTAAATGTTAAAAATTAATTTTATCGTGTATACTGCAGACTGTGATTGACTTCTCGTTTTATTCATTTACATTTTTTGATGATTTTAAGTAATTAGGCAGGTATGCATTTTGTGTTTATGGATCTTGTTTTCTTAAACATTACCTAGAAGAAATATAAACAAGTGTCCTTAGGTATAAACTAAAACAATGTATTGTTATGTAAAGGACATTAAAATTACTTTTTTTGTACATTCTCTGAGTGTTAAAATTAAGAATTTAGATTTCATCCGTACGAGCTTATTAATGAAAATTTAATAAAAATACTAAGCATTTGTAGAGTTATGCATTTAGAATTCAAACGGTGAAGTTTGGGGTAAATATAATTTTACAATGTGTTGGTAAGTTTATTTTAAAGGTAAAATATTTTTAATTATTTATAAATTTAATGTCATAAATCAAATAAATGTCTTAATTTTGGGTGCCTATATACGATTATAATCATATTTATATTTATAATTTACTGTTTAAAATTTTATCTATCGTCCAAAATACTTTAAGACTAAGACATTAAATATGCACACGACAATCAAAAACACAGGTCAACAATAAAATAGAACGATTACTAAGTATTCAAAAAAAAAAAACAAAGAACATTTTTTATTTTCCTTATTTATAAAGTAAACATAATACAAATGTATAGAACGAATAGTACTTGGAAATAAACTCAAGAAGAAATAAAAATACGCATAGTATAACGTTAAAAAAAAGCTTGTGAACTAGGTATCTAGTCATAACTGAAACAATTTAATGAAATGTAAAATTATTAATTATTAAATTTCTATTTTATTTACACTTTGCAATTTATGAATTTTTTTCTTATACTTTTTCAAGTAATTACAATTAAACTCAAGAAAATACTAAAGATACATTTTATAATATTTCAATTTAATTATATTTATATGCGTATAAAAACAGTCGGCATATAAGATATTGTACATATTATATAAAGATATAAAGGGTGTTTCATAAAGAACGCTGCATTTTTTTTTTAAATTTTGCCCTTTAATTTTGCAGTTGATACTGTCTCTTCAAATTAACTGACCAGCCTCGTTATTGTTATTGTAGTTGAGGTCAGTGCTTCATGGTGTCCGAGGATCGCACAAAGTTGCTCAACAGTTACCGCAACACACTCGACGTGTTTATAATGATAGGTTCGATAAACAAAGAACGTTGATCGATTGTATACCGTTAAATGATGAAAAAATAAACAAAATAGGAACACAATAGAATGGTCGATCACTAAAAATCTCAACAACCATAGGTAACAGAAAAATTATTAGAAGAGCCACCTACCAAACAACAAAAAATTACACAGAATTTTAAACACTGCGTTCTTTATGAAACACCCTATATTTTGAAGTACGTAATACGAATCTGTTTGTGATGGTCACTAGTGACAGTGCTAATACATTTTTGATAAGATCAATAATTTTATGAATCAAATCTGTAATCTCTGCAAAAGAAATTTCTTTGAACTTTATTTTATAAAAAGCCGTATGAATGACTGGAAAAATATCTTAGGTCACATACACACAAAGGCTGAAAACTGATGGTATAGAGTAATTGAATCAACAACTGCTACCTTGCGTTTTCATATTTACATATTATTTACTTTATTGTTTAGAAAAGTACAAAACAGTAAAATCCTAAAAACTGGTCTCGTATATAGCATGTTTTCAAATTCTCAAATTGTTAAGATAATTATATAAATAAATTATCTTGACAGTTATCCATTGTGGATAAGCATAAAAAGAGGATTAAGTCAAGAAGTTGTGTAAAATTAGTATTATGTATCGAACAGTTCAGAAAAAAAATATCGTATAATTTGTGCTTCATAATTTACCATTACTTAATTATTGCAATAAGATATTTTTCATACTGACTAACATCTGTTTGACTATTTTTGTAGACTTCAAGTGATAAAAGGGTTAATGCTTGATGGTTATGTATATTTACTTACCATTTTACTCTATTGTATCCAGTGTTGTTTTAACAATAATGATTGAATTAACTAAAATGCTTTCGGTATTACATACCAGTTTTTTTTTCATATTTTTTAGTTCATGAATAAAATACAGTTCTTGATACCTACCCAATACTTAAAATGCACTCTGTTGTATATATATATACACATATACTTAAAAACTAAAACAATAACAGACTATCAAACTGTTTACTTCCCCATAATGTCAAAAGCAAAACAAATAGTTGAACTCAGTAGAAAAGGCAAAAATGTAACAGAAGAAATTAACAAATGAATAAAACAAATTGTTATTATTTTGTTTTTATTATTTTTAAGCATTAAAAATACACAAATAAGTAAAATGTAAATAATGTAAGAAATGTAAACAATAAAGGAAAATTATAAAAGAGCCAAACAAATTTTACAACATGCATAACATAATGAATTATGATAAAAATAATTAATTTTATAATTTCTTTATCATTACCCTGTGGTGGTTTAATAAATTAGGATAGGTTTATTAAATGAGGCTGGAAAAAATAAACTCCTATCTGTGTAACGTTTGACGTATAGTAACGCTATCAATTTTTCGAAAAACTTGTTAAAATAGTAAATATTTTTCGTCTACCCTTCGTAAGAAGTTTCACTTCAAATATACCATATCCCACTCAAATACACAACCTAATATTTTACTTTTTATAATACTTCTTTTCAATTTTTTTGAAAAAAATACGATCACCGACCAACGTCAATGATTTCACTCTCTTTTTAAGTAGACTCACAAATCTAATAAAAGCATTTATTTAAATAGTCGATTTAACATTTGTTTACCCAGTGAGATGTCTTGCCATACAAATCAATAAAATAAATCTGGTGTATTAAGTTATTTTAAATATTATTCATTGTCACCGTTACAGTGATGAACTTTAAAATTTTAAAATATATTGTTCATAATAATACAAAGCAACAGATCGAAGTTAAAAAAGTGAATAATATAATATTATATAAGGTGATTATTATCAAAATGAGTAGGTTCGTAAACTCGCATCCGTCTATGAACGGGTGAATAATAAAAAAAATGTATTTTAAATAGAGTGTGAACGTAAACGAAATATATAAGAAATATTTTGTATGAACTTGAACCATATTTTCACTCTTCAAACACAATCTATAAAAAAAAAAATGAAATGTACTTCACGGGCGTCTACGCCCCGACCGGTTCTTGTTCGGCGTTCAACACCAATAGCTGCTGGTGGGATATTGTTCACCAGGTACCTCTGGGAGGGATGCAGTGACAAATTTTTAGCATAAATACCATGTATCTGGTCTCCATAATCACCAGTTCATTTCTGCACACAGTCATTTGACAATACAACAAAACAAACCACTAAAATGGCCGCTAAGGTAAGTTAAGATTATCGTAGTTTTAAATTTAAAACGGTCGCGTTTTTAAACAAAATATTTTTTACTTATAAACCATTAGAGGTGATTGCAAAAAATTGTTTTCTAATTTTTAAACTTTGTTTTACAGTTCATCATCCTCGCCGCTTGCGTGGCTACCGCACTCGCCCAATACTCTGCCCCCGCTTACAAGCCCGCTTACTCAGCACCAGCTTACTCAGCACCCGCTTACGCAGCACCAAAGGCTTACGCCCCAGAACCCGCCTACGCCCCAGCCCCATACAACTTCGAATACAGCGTAAACGACCCACACACCTACGATGTCAAGAGCCAATCCGAATACGCTGACGGCAACGGTTACGTCAAGGGATCCTACAGCCTTTTGGAAGCCGATGGTTCCACCCGTACCGTCGAATACACCGCTGACGACTACAACGGATTCAACGCCGTCGTCAAGAACTCCGCCCCAGCTGCCTACAAGCCAGCTTACTCCGCACCAGCTTACTCCGCTCCAGCCTACGCTGCACCAGCATACTCTGCACCAGCCTACGCTGCACCAGCTTACTCTGCACCGGCCTACAAGCCAGCCTACAAGCCAGCATACAAACCAGCATACTAATAATTTCTTTAGTCATGTGAACCAACTCTCTTCTTCACCACTTTTTTTCATGACTTCTTCATGTGCACCTCTGGGCCATCGCGTTCATATTGAACCGAGATCTCAAAGTCATACCACGCCATATTAATATATGAGACAATGAGTACGACCAATGTATTTGTTGTGTAAATATAATATATAATAATGTGTATTTATTGAACATCTCTGACTTTTATTTTATTTTACACCTCATAGTCCTGTTTTATACACTCCGTTGATTTTCGTATTTTGATCACATCATAAACAAAAATGTAATACATTTGGGTTGTTTTATTCGGGTAATGTAGAAAATCGTGAGTCTTTGAAGTGTTCAGAACTCACGAAGGTATCATTGTTCCAATCTGGGTACTTTGAATAATGTTATACCTACTCACTTATAAAAATGTAATTTTAATCACATATACATTGAAATATTTTTAGAGAATTTATAAGTCAATTTTACCCGTATCACAAATATTTCTATAAAAATGTCAAGTATAAATGAAATATAATTGATTAATGTAATTTTACAAGACTGACATATCTATTCCACATTTGGGTATTAAATATGTGTTGTTCAATGCCTTGAATACCTAAGATGATATTGTGTTTCCGGTATTATATAAACTAAAGATTAAACTTATTTCAAATAAATAATCTTTTAATACGCTTAAAATATTTTATTAATTGCATAAAAGTATGTTACTTGAAGTTTCCATAGATAATTAGAATATTATTTATATATTTATTTTTTTAAGATATTTAAATCCAAAAAATAAAAAATAAAAAGTCGTAAAGTCGACAAGTAAGTGCTACTCTGATATACATTAGGTGCCCAGACGAGTCAGTGAATTAGTGTGTTAAGTATAAATTCAATGGTATAAAATCATTGTATAAGAAAAACGAGAGTAAGCGAAGATGATATGTCAGTCTATATTATAGGTATGTTTTATGATATTATTGCTATAAAGTAATCAATTTTGGTATTAGAAATTTCAGGAAGACAGTAGGTCAAATTCATTTTTTCTGAAAAAATTGCATTTGAAAATGTAATTTTTGTATAAAAATACTAATTTACTTTTTAAACAACTAACGATAAAAATTGAAAAAATAATTTAAATCATTATTCTTTGTTAAAAATTAAAATACCTGTTTTTTTTATAAATTTTCAATTAAAATTATATAAAAAAAAACTTACCAGGAATCTTCTATCAAGATTTTTAAGTCTAAAATATAATAAATACTATGAGAGCACTTTGTTGTAGGCAAGATTGCGGCTTATGATACGATGGCAGTTGTGGCAAATCCTAAAAAGTGTAATGTTTTTGCCCATTTTTACTTGCCATCGAAATGTCCGACCTAGGTATAACTTTTTCATTCTTACACTCTTTTTACAATTTAATAAAACCCTTTCTTAGTAAGTCACTTAATCAAAAAAATAAACTACTGATCAAATTTCACATTCAAAGCTTCGGTGTTTACGGCTAGATTATGGCCAATGATGAATCACTCAGGTCATGTTATTTTATATTATTAAGACATACTTTAATAATAATTTATAACTGATTTTGCACAGTGAGGTGTTACTCATGAACAAAATTAAATAATGCAAGTTTCTTACCAAGTCTTAAACACAGCTAAATATAAACAACACATACTTTTTTACATTAATTTAGGTGGTTTTGACCAAATATAAAAATATAAAATACATGTCTAAAGTTAAATTTGATTTTAATCACTACATATTTTCTGTAACCGATGGCCTCACTATACAAACGAAACAATATTCGTTTTCTCGTGAGCCAAAAAATGCCTGGCAGGACTGCAAGGTATAAAAATAAGAAATGAAAAACCAGAGATATTCAATAAATACACATTGTTATATATATTTACACAATAAATACGTAAGTTGTACCAATTATCAAATTGGAATGTCATGTTATGACTTTAAAACCATGGTTCAATATGAACACGATGGCCCAGAGGTGTACACGAAGAAGTCATGAAAAAAAGGCGATGAAGAGTAGTTGTTTACACATCTAATTAAAAAATTAGTATGCTGGCTTGTATGCTGGCTTGTAGGCCGGTGCAGAGTAAGCTGGTGCAGAGTAAGCTGGTGCAGAGTATGCTGGTGCAGAGTATGCTGGCTTGTAGGCTGGGGCAGAGTATGCAGGTGCAGAGTATGCTGGTTTGTAGGCTGGTGCGGAGTATGATGGGGCAGAGTATGACGGGGCCTTGTATCCACCTTCGTTCTTGACGACGGCGTTGAAACCGTTGTAGTCGTCAGCGGTGTATTCGACGGTGCGGATGGAGCCGTCGGCTTCGACGAGGCTGTAGGATCCCTTGACGTAACCGTTTCCGTCACTGTATTCGGATTGGCTGTGCACATCGTAGGTGTGTGGATCGTTTACGCTGTATTCGAAGTTGTACGGTGTGGGTGCGTATGCAGGTTCTGGGGCGTATGCCTTTGGTGCTGAGTAAGCGGGCGCAGAGTACGCTGGCTTGTAAGCTGGAGCGGAGTATTGGGCAAGGGCGGTAGCCACGCAAGCGGCGAAGATGATGAACTGTGGTAAAAATACGTTTCCAAATTAAAAACAATGCATTTTTCGATCCCCATATTTTTTGTTTCTTATATTAAAAACAGATTTGTATATTATAAATTATATAAATATAATTTTAAAACGTGTAACCAAAATAATATTGTCTTACCTTAGCGGCCATTTTAGTGTTGTATTGGTTTTTTTGGTCAAATTATACTATGACTGTGTACAGAAATGAACTAGTGGTTATAGAAACGAGAGCTGTGGTATTTATGCTAAAAATTCGTCGCAGCATCCCTTCCATATGTTTATGGCACTATACGTACAATTTCTTACCAGCAGCTATATAACATTGTCTGTATAATATCGAAAAAGAACCGGTTGGGGCGTAGATGCCTGTGAAGTGCATTTCATTAATATTAAATAATAGTGTACAAGAAGTATAATATGGATCAAGTTCATTAAAAATATGAATTGTATTTTTATAATATTAGGGTGTATGGGAAATGATTATATAAACATTTAGTGAATATTTTAAGTCTCCATATATCGTGATTCTTTTTGGGTGTACAACAAAATAAGAAAACTACTCAATAAGAAATCGGCTGAATATCCAACTTCTTAAATATTCAAACTTTAAACACTAACAAAATTAATTTGACTTCATGGAAAACTTTTTTTTATAAGGGTGGAAAAACTTATGAGGAGTCTTTTATTAAATTTTCTAGTAATAGATATTAAAACCATTATTTTTATAAGCTTATAACTAAAAATAATTTGCACGTTTTGAATTTTTAGGAATATTATGATATATAATCATACAAAATTACTATAGATTAGCTCAACTTTTTTTTAAAATACTAAATTACTATCAACTTTATATTGAATTTGCATATATATTTTTCAGCTATCAGCAACATTTTTTTTAAAAAAAACTCAAAAATGGAATATTCGTCATATCTACAAATATTTCAAAGAGAGTCAAAATATATTGTACATTTCATCATGTATGGAAAATGGTCATAATTATAACTGAAAACATTCTAACAAAAAATAGGAATAGTTTGGCATATGAGTCACATTCACACAAAGGTTGAAAACCGATCGTGGATCGGAGAACGTGGAATTGGTTCCCGGGTCAATTAAAGTGTACAAATTGGTCTCCGAAAAAAACACTTTCCAGTATACAACTGTTCTAATTGGTTCCCGAATAAAATACCTTATCAGTTTATGGGATTACCTTTATTGCCTCCTGATATAATACAAAACGTTTATGTTGAGTTGATGGCTATAAAACCTGTACATGAAAAACTTGATGCATTTATTTTTTTTGACCATGTAGGTACTTGAAAATTATATTGAAAATGATAATGATTTTTTACCAACAATTTGGGCAGATTTTTCAGCCACTTCGGAACGATCAACAAACTGTTACGAATTGTTTCACGGAAAACTGAATTCTAGATTTTATTCCACCCACCCAAATATTTTTTTATTGATTGGACAATTAAAAGCGGTGCAAGGCGAAACATATATAAAGCGAAGAAGCTCACTTAGATTAAAATAAAAAAAAAATAGACAGTCCTAAGTCTAAATAAATGGGAAGGAAATTGTTGCTGGTTGAATATATCATAATAATTAGAAAAGTTAATTTAACAAGACTGTATTATCACGAAAACTTGCAGGAACCAATTCGTTTGTTATCTGTAGACAACCCGAGAACCAACTCGCATATTACCTGTAGACAACCCAGGAACCAATTCTACAATTGGGAACCAATTCGTAGTCGTCCCGTGGAGCATGTAAGACAACTGTCAAAGATTGTGCATTTAAAAATACGTTGTATAAAATAATAGGCTGTTATAAAATATACTACTTCAAATAATTCAAATACAGATACAGCCACTTATTTTGAAAAGTTTTTAAAATACATATATCAGAACTCAGTAAACAAGAATTTGAATACAAACAAACTAAATATATTTTAATATATTTGTATATTAGAATATATTCTAATAATTACGAATTTTTTACTTCAAACTTTTATTTTATATAAATTAACTTGCCTGAATTTGTTTAATCATTTTCATGTTTAATTAATTATATAGAAAATTTAACTCTATATCATTAGGTGCGTTTATAAATTACCACCTATCTGTTTTTTAGGTCAAGGTATTTAAAATTGCATTTGGTTTAAGTCACTCACAAAAAAATATTAATATACATATATAAACGTCTATTTAAGTATAATATTATTGGACACATAAACGCATTACACAGTGGTCCAGAAATACAAAAAAATAAATAAGTACAATACAATAATTAAAATAACTTATATAATTGGATAATTATAGATGTTCGATATGAGTGGGAGGGTAAACAGTAAACGGTTATTCATACATATACGTGAGAGTACATTTTTTTTTTAAATGAAGCATTAAAATAAGTAAACGAAATTTATAAATTTAATGAACTTGATCCATATTTTCATTCCTCAAACATTGTCATTAATATAAATTAAATGCATTTCACGGGCGTCTACGCCCCAACCGGTTCTATTTTGATGATATACAGACAATATACACTAACTGCCAATAGAAAATTGAACCTCCGTATAATGGGAGGGATGCTGTGACCAATTTATAGCATAAATACCACAACTCTGGTCTCTTTAGTCACCAGTTCTATTCTGTACACAGTCATCCAATACTTTGACCAAACAACCAAGACTACGCTAAAATGGCCGCTAAGGTAAGTCAAAATTATTTTAATTCGATGTTTTAAAATGGCTGTGTTTTGACACGAATCTTATTCAAGTAAAAAATAATAATTATTACAATAATAAAAAATTATTGTTTTTAATTAGGAAATATTTTTTTTTGTTTTTACAGTTCATCATCCTCGCCGCTTGCGTGGCTTCTGCCCTCGCCCAATACTCTGCCCCCGCTTACAAGCCCGCTTACTCAGCGCCAGCTTACTCAGCACCCGCTTACGCAGCACCAAAGGCTTACGCCCCAGAACCCGCCTACGCCCCAGCCCCATACAACTTCGAATACAGCGTAAACGACCCACACACCTACGATGTCAAGAGCCAATCCGAATACGCTGACGGCAACGGTTACGTCAAGGGATCCTACAGCCTTTTGGAAGCCGATGGTTCCACCCGTACCGTCGAATACACCGCTGACGACTACAACGGATTCAACGCCGTCGTCAAGAACTCCGCCCCAGCTGCCTACAAGCCAGCTTACTCCGCACCAGCTTACTCCGCACCGGCTTACTCTGCACCAGCCTACGCCGCACCAGCATACTCTGCCCCGGCCTACAAGCCAGCATACAAACCAGCATACTAATTTATTTAGTCGTGTAAACCTAAATTTCTTCATCATCTGTTGTTCATGTTTTCATGAATGGGCCACCAAGTTCATATTGAACCGCGGTTCTAAAGTCATACCATATATCGTGTTAATATATAAGACAATTATTGGTACAACGTTTGTATTTATTGTGCGAATACATACAATAATGTGTACTTATTGAACATCTCTGATTTTTTTTTTCCTAATTTTTACACCCTGCATTCCTGCCAGGGATTTTATGGCTCACGAAAAGCAAATATATTTGTTTGTATAATGTTTCCATTGGTCACAGAGAGAAAATAGCTATTATAGTTAAATATAACATTAGACCTTTTTTTATATTTTTACATTTGGTCAATACCACCAAAATTAATGTGAACAAATTAATATGTAGCTTACAGTTACATTTAAAGGAGTTTAAAAGTATAGGTTAAGCCACTTGCATTATTTAATTTTGCTACGACAAATTCAATCTTTGCAGAATGAGTCAAAGTTAGTAAATATACGTTGATACATATAAGAACATAGTGTATTAGGGTTTGAAATTCATATTTTTATACATTGGGTATTCAACCAATTTCTCCTACAGCAATATTTTCTTATTTCATTGTATTTAAAAAAAAAATAACGACACCTTAATATTTAATTTTTTCACCAGATATTTTTATTAGCATTTTGAATTTTTGAATACACCTCAATATTTTCAAAATGTCTTAACTGGTATAGAGCTAATAGGAATAGTAATAGGAATATTAATAGGAATAGTAATAGTAAGAATTATAATAATAATAATAATTATCATACTAATATAGTCGTAACTAATATTTTAGTTATTTTGTTCTGTAAGTAGGTAACAATAAAAATTCTTTGGTTTATTAATCAGCTTAAAAATGTTATGTAATGTTCCTCGACATTTTTATTGATCACTTCAAAAATATTAAATATTAGTATGCAAGATTGATGTTTAGTACTTAGAGTACAGATTTCGATAAAAACCGACAAAATCACGAATATTTGCAAATTATTTTTTAGTTAAAAATTAGCCATTAGCTAAGAATTGAAAACTTGAATCAACGATTCTTAGAAACCGCACATACTGTAACAAAAATATTTAAAAAGTAGCTACACATATTTTTTTAATAGACATTTTAATTTTTGTCTTCGTTCAAACCCGTTTTACATATACAATGATTTTATATCAGTGAATTCAAATTTATGTTGGCTCCTCTGAACGGTCTTGACACCTCTGTACTGCGGTGCTTTACTCATTTTTTATTTATAAATTATTGCCAAATAGTTATTATGTTATAGGATACAATTTTAGGTCTATATACCTTCTATTTGGTAAAAATAACTGTGTAATAAATACTTGCACAGCTTACATTTGACGGAGTTTCAAAAAGGATACATGGTAATTTATACATGACCAACGCAATGTAGGATCAGGTAGTAGGAAAAAATATAATCCTAAGCAATGTCAATAATCAATAACTAAACCATACTTAATATTATCATCTATCAGTTGTACAGTTAAAGTTAACAGTTCTGTAAACTGATAGTTACAACTAACAGATAGGTGGCTATAGTAAACTATATTTATAATTTTATAATTTTATAATTAAAGGTTGAATATTGTATTGATTTTATGTATGATTATAATCACCATTTTGCAGATACCATTTTATATTCATTATTGTGCTTAGTAGATGTCAACTATCAAATATAAAAAATATATGAATAAGATAAAATTGAAATTCCTTTCAAACCTTAACACAATTATATTTTCCAGTGGAACTATAATTTAATTTTCACATGGGTGCATTATCAAAATATGTCCTAACACTTGTTTATGAACATTTTTTTGTAAATTTGATAAAAAAAAATGTATAAACTTACTGGTAATGTATTGATATGACGCTGTCTAATACAACTTCATAAAATAAATAAAATAAACTCGATGTTATTTTGATTAGTTATTTATTTACAAAATAAATACATTGATGACATATTTGGTTGATGGACATACAATAATATGGATAATATGTTATGATTGTCTGCACGACTATTTAGTGTCGCGACTCAATAATTGATAAGAAGTTGTTAGTGGAATACCTTGTACGGGACTGGCTTGTAAGCTGGTGCTGTGTATGCTGGGTAGGCGGCCTTGTAGGCGGGGGCGGTGTACGGGGCCTTGTATCCTCCTTCGATTTTCTTGACGACGGCGTTGAAACCGCTGTGATCATCGGCGGTGTATTCGACGACGCGGGTGGAACCGTCGGCTTCCAAAAGGCTGTAGGATCCTTTGATGTTACCGTTGCCGTCAGCGTATTCGGACTGGCTCTTGACGTCGTAGGTGAGTGGGTCGTTTACGCTGTATTCGAAGCTGTATGGGGCTGGGGCGTATGCGGGCTCTGGGGCGTATGCCCTTGGTGCTGTGTATGCGGGCACTGCGTACGCCGTTCTGTAAGCGGGGGTAGAGTATTGGGCGAGGGCAGAAGCCACGCAAACGGCGAAGATGATCAACTGTTCGACACAATTTTAAAACATTATAAGCATCACAAAGTTAAATAATTAAAGAAATCGTTGACGTTCGAATAGACTTACCTTAGCGGCCATTTTCGGTTTTGGTTTTTCGGTTGTTTAGATGAATTATTCGATAGCTGTGTGCACAAATGAACTGATGATTATGGAGACCGGACACTCAGTATTTATGCTAAAAAATTTGTCACAGCATCCCTTCCAATATTACATTTGGCACTCATTGTGTCGTTGTTCAATTACAAGAACCGGTTAAGATGAAGACGACTCCGTGGCTTACCTACTTGTTGGACCATTTTTTTATGCATCGTATTAAAATCGTTTTGCTATATTTCAAGTTTGTTGAAAATATAATCATCTTCGTTCACGTATACTCTATTCAAAAAAAAAGTATTCGAATCCGAACATGTAGGTAGCAACTTGTTTCTGCATTTTAATCACATATTTAATTTTATGTTACAGACTTGTGGTGGAAAAGGGATACAATGAATAGGTAGGTTAAGTACAGCCATAATATCTAAAAATATTCATATTATATCAAACGAGAAATGATATTAACAAAAACTCGATATTGTGTAATTCACCGGTTACTTGTAAACTGAATATAGTTATGTCGATATAAAGTATTTAATTAGTAAACAATAAAGAGTTTTTAGAGGGACTTTCAGCCAGATTTGTATTGTCAAATATCTAATTACTAATAACTATGTATACTGTTAATGGTTTGAATGTAGCTGAATTAAATGCATACCTATTTTGTATCGTTAGTTATTTTTCTTGATATTTTCAGCAATGCATATTATGTAATCATATGGTGTGACTTCTCTCATGAATACAATATGAAAATGTTGGTTCTTGTTTGTATGCTTACAATCATAGCCCTTATGAATTATATGATTAATAACACTATATTGCTGTAAATAACAATTGACAAATTATCCGATTTGGATCTGTGATGTGTGAGTAGGCAAACAGTTTTTTTACGCTGTGAGAGAATTAAGATGGAAATATCTTACGCTTATTAATTAATATAGCATTTGCGTCGTATGGTTAGGTTAGATAAATAGTTTGATTTAGTTAAAAAATTATTATAAACACTGGGTACTTATTCACAAAATGTCAAATTGTATTTCTATTGTATAAAACATATTTGGATGTCAAATGTCAAAACGACCAAATTGATCAAATATTCAAAACCTATTCCTCTATTATAGTTAACACAAATAAAGAAATGCAACAAATGTCAAATTGGTATATTTAAAAAAAAATTACATTTATTATGTGTTCTATTTTTGTTTTGTGCTTTTTTAAATATTAAACAATTCACTATTTGCTAGTAAGTAAGTGAAATGTAAAACAATCAATAATTGTTTAAGTCGACAATTATTTAAAATGTTTAAAGTACGCTTTGATAATATTGAGCTATTTGAAAAATAGTAAATGTGTCAGGGATTAATATGTAATACACATAATCCTGTAACTGACTCTAACTTTATAAACTCTTGTGGGTCATTGTGTTCACTATTAAGCTTGTAACAGTAATGCTTATTATTTAATATAAAATTAGTTTTGATTAAATACCATAGGAAACTTAACTACCTTAACATACAATTTAGATACCCTGAGTTTAAATTATAAAACATTTATGCTTGCAATATTTAAATAAAAACTCTATCACTGTCATATTTTTGAGTATATATTCGAGAACTAATTTATGATCATTTTTACATCTATGTATAACATCGTATTTATATTTTTCAAAACTTGCAGTTTAGATATCTTGTTGCAAAACCAATAATCATAATTCATCACAGTTATTCTATATGGTTAATACAGTCTTAAAAGTAAATAACGGACAGTATAAAAACAAGTTTGTTGTATTAAATAATGGTCCTCAGGGAATATAACACTCCTTGTTACACTAATGTTATCAATCAAAATATCTGCAGTCATATTGTTTCTAGAGACCATATAAAGTCCAAACACTACACTGTCAATACTATTCAATCATTTTTTCATTATTTTTTTTTAATATATTATTGGGTACTTTCGTGCAAATATTCTATAATAGGTATTATTTCCAACGATTAATGTATGATTTTTATACAGTAAAAATTATAAAATTGTATTATTAAACGATTAAAATAAATAAATAATTTTAATTGTTGAAAACTTTTTTCGAAAAATGTCTATAATAAAGCACCTAATTTAAAAAAAAATAGAAATGTCTTTATCCAACAATCAAACATTAAGTTGAATACATTTTCATATTATTTAAGTCTCCGAACTGTAATTGATGAATTCAAAACTCTGCCCAAACAGTAATTACCAATTACATTCAAATAGCTTAAGATTAACTTTGTACATATATCAAGGTATATTTTATAAATATTCGATAGGTAGGGACCTACTTTAAAAATGTAATCATTTAGTTTTATAGATAAACCCATATTAATATTCTTTTCTTTAAGTATATTTTAAAGCTGTAAACCCGCCAGAATGTAAATTGTAATAATTATAATAATTCACAGTATTCTAACGCAACAATTTTATGTAATACATATACATTTACACATAAGATACATTTTTTTTTTAAATTATTTGTACCTTTCACTCGATTTGTAATTTATTTTATCCGTTTCACAATAAATAATAAATTCAAACATACTGTAAACAGTAGGTATAACGTTTCCACGTGGATGATTTCTTTTACAGAAACAAATATTTAACTAAATTCAATTATAACCAGTTCACGTCGTATACATACTCTCTGGGGAAACACAATAATGTAACAACGTGGAATGGGTAAAAAGTAACACCGATCTTCGATTTAAATACTGCGACAACAACCACGAAATTTATCAGTCATCGAGTTGTATTTGTCGCCGACAGAACAAACACAATATTTTCTCACCGTTCAAAACGACATCCATTCAAAATGATCGCCAAGGTATGGTACTGCGCTGACGTGCAGTTTAAAAAATATAATATCATACAATACATGAACCGCACGAAAACATCACCGCAGTCGAAACGGCTTTTGATTTTTCATTTCCGTTTGATTTTTCAGGTATTCTTCATTGTCGCTTGCGCGTCCATCGCCGCCGCCCAGTACGCAGCTTACGCCCCGGAGCCCAAGTACGCACCCATCCCATACAGCTTCGAGTACAGCGTCAACGACCCACACACCTACGACGTCAAGAGCCAACGCGAATCGAGCGACGGAAACGGCAACGTCAAAGGCTACTACAGCCTTTTGGAAGCCGACGGTTCCACCCGCACCGTCGAATACACCGCTGACGACTACAACGGATTCAACGCCGTCGTCAAGAACTCCGCCCCAGCTGCCTACAAGCCAGCTTACTCCGCACCCTCGTACTCTGCCTACAAACCGTCATACTAATAGTTTTTTTTTTTTTCCCCAAAACATTCTAATATGTGATCCCCAACAACGTCTATCGCTTCTTCGTCTCATCATGTTTTCATCACGCGCACGCCTTCCGAGGACATAATATTATTATTTGTGAATCGCTGTCGCAATAATACTATACCGATGTAGGTACACGACAACGGGTACGATCTGCTGTGGGCGGGTGTGTTTTATTGTCACCGCCGCCGTCGAGACAATTTAAGACGGACACAGAGCACCGAAACGGAGCTCTGGCACAACAAACCACCCCTGTTGATCAATACCTAATAATAACAAATTACTGTATATTGTTTAAATTGTCGTGTTCCCGTTTTGTAATATATATTATATATATATACCTCTGTTCGTCGAACACAAAAATCCTCATGTGCTTATCATTCATTCATCATATCACTGTGTACATAATATTATATAATATAGTTGTAAACGAATCTAAACTAACACAATTTTAGTTGTATTTACTTTTATGTTTTGAATTATTAATAATAAAACCTATTCGTATAATTATATACATTAAATAAAGTGTCATTTTTAATCATTTATTTCCCTTTGTCATTATTTGGTTTCGAATTACGATATAACTACACCCAAAAAATATATCAAGAGCACAAAAGTTATTCTATTTGACTTGTCTTCCTAATCTGGAAATGTATTATTTTGTAATCAAAAAATATCGATACGGTGAAACGTTTTAAATTGTAATGCATTGGTGTATTTAAAAATAAAATTATTTGTCAAACAATAGTCTTCGGCAAATGCTCAATAAAATAAACATCATTAACCAAACAAATTAAAAATAATTGAAAAATTATATAGCTTATGACTGGAAATGCAAATTTGATAACTGCCATTACATGCAATGGTTTAAAGATTTATTTATTTGAATTGTGGAACATTTTTAAAGATTTTTTAGAACTTTCATTTTATTAGATGATATCCATAAATAATTTAATTTTTAATATGTATGAAATGTATACCCATGAAGGTATATTTTATTCTTTAATGAAAAACAATCGAACAACTTAAAGTAAAATATATTATTATTATATTTTATTCGATTCTGTGCATAATATAATTAAGATTTTTAAATAATCTAGTTTATCTGGACAAAACTAAAAACATAATTTAATTTTAGAAGTTATATCAATTATTGAATAATTTTATTATTGAAATACAATATTTCATTTGATTTTCAGTATATCACAGTTTTGATCAAATCTGATTAAAACCATGATAATACGTTTCCAATTTCATTGGAAAGCAGAGCACAATATTTATGTTGCATAACAAAAAATGTTACATTTTATGTTCGTACCTAGTACTTACGGGTATTATTACATTTTTAAAAATCGAATTATTATCAGATACCACTTACAGAATACGTGTTGAAAATTATATAAACAATCAAATTAATTTGTATTTAAGTTTTGCTCTTGTCTGCAAGAGTCACTAATGGGTGGCTGCTTAAATCACGCCTGTCACGTATCATGTACTATTATCATATAAGCTTATTGTGCAAACTGTACAGATTGTTTATTTCAAATAAAAAAAAAAAAAAAAAAGTTTTGCTCTAACTGTTCCGCTACTCGGGTACACTCGCCTATAGGCTATAGCTGTATACAGGATTTACAACATACATTCACTGTTAATTTACCACTTGATGTTTAAACGCGTGATGATGTTTTTAATCCTTATAAACTATATTACACCGGCATTATTCTAGACTACGGGAGTAATAATTATTAATATATTTTCACTAGACATTTCCGGTTTAGATAGCACAGATCAATTATAGGTGTTAATTGTAAATGTAGGTATATCATTCTCATACGAGTGAAATCTTCTTCGACTGGGGAGGGATTCGTGTACATATACAATAGGTAAACCACATAAATTGGTAGACTAGCTGTTTGCAGTAACGGTCGCGGGTCGTTGTCATTCAGTGTATCAAGCAACAGAAAAAAAGAGATAAAAATAGTACAACACAGAATTCTAGAAATTAAAACAACCGACAATGACTATTAAGGTGAGTAAAAATCTTACTAAAGTTATATCGAACTAATAAACTAGCAAAAAAATTGGATACATTTCACTGTTTTTTTTTTTTTTTTTTAACAAATCTGTCTGAACTATTATTTTCAGCTATACATCATGTTTGCCGTGGCCATGACTTTCTTGAATCTCACAGCGTCATTTCCGTCTTTGGACGATTTTGACGAACACGAACATCATTCGCAAGTGTCCAATTCGTATCACTTCAAGTATGCCGTTCACGACCCCGTAACCGGTGACGAAAAAAGTCACAACGAAGTTGGCGACGGGCATGGCTCGGTCAAGGGGACGTACAGCCTAGTCGAACCAGACGGTTCCATTCGTGTGGTGGAATACACAGCTGATGACGTCCACGGCTTCAAAGCCGAAGTGAAGAAAATCCAACCACAGAAAAAGCCTTCGTCTACAGAACAAACATTTGACTCAGCTGAGCATGAGGTGCCATATCTCCCAAACCCGGTGAATGATTTAGAAGAACACTACGATCATATGAACTGAGAATATAATTTTGTTGCAATATTATTATGATGACATATTGACATGTCATAATAGTATGCAGCAAGCCTGATTTTTGAGACTCGCATAATTGTTTTTCATATTTATAATATTGTTATTGTATGAATATATTATAATATTTTTGCAATTTTAATAAACACGATGTTTTTCCTCTAAGTCCAAAAAATGTATTATTAATGTATTACGTAAACCTAATAGTTTGTAACGTCCAAATAAATGTTACATAAGTTTACATAACTTAATAAACATCTGTGGATGATAACCCATCCTTGAGATGTCTGTGATATCTTCCTACTTCCGAGCATCCAAGAATTTAAGTCGTCAAGCGTACAAATAAATCAAGATAAAATATTATTTTGAGCATTTTCTTTTGAAAGTCTCGATGAAAATATGTAACTTATTTTCTTCATGAGTACTTTTTAAAACAACATTATGTACATTATTATTATTTTGAAGATTGAATATCAACAAATAAGCCATTGGTTTTACAAAAACAAGTTATTTTTATGGTTTTAGAACCAATATTTAATGTTATAAAACAACTCTAAAAAAGATCTTTAAAAACTATTGATATAAGTAGTAAAAAGTATTAATTTTAGAGAGATATTTAACTAAACACTACTTAGTTTTATATTATTAAACCAATATTCATTTTGATAAATCTTTGAAATTGTTATTTTTATGTATAAATACTTTGATTTGAAACAAATTGTAATACAATATATACAAATAATGGTACTAAATAAGCGCTTTACTAACAGCCTTTTTTCTCAAGCACTTAACATTTTAATGATCATCTAAATTTCAAAGTAACGAATAAAATTGAAAGTCGTCTTTTAAATGTAATAACCGTAAATGTAAGATGAATACCAGTTTTTTGGTCATCGACTATATGTAGTAAATATCTAAGTTAAGGCGTTATATTCATTATTATTTTTATACTCATGAACATATAGACATTTAATTTGTAAAAATATTATTTAATACATTTCAATATTCTGAATTCTTAACTCTGTTTATTATTTTATTTAAATTTACGATGATCACTTTAAAGTTAATGTACTTACTTCTAAAAATAAACATTAAAATTTATAAGGACAATTTGATACCAAAAAAAAAAAAAAAAAAATAAGAAATAAACGAAATAATTTTGTGGTAAATAATCAAGTAAGATAACAGATATGAATATACTAACCTCTCTTGTGTACTAATATCTTCAAAATCCAGCCTATTACTGACTATAATTACAAAGTGAATTTGTTTTCATTTTAAATAAAAAACTTGTATATAATGAATACCCATATAATTATATAGGATAGAGTTTAAAATATTACATTGTAGATCTATTATAAGTTATTTACTAGTTTCATATTGTAGAGAATACAAATGTATAAGCAATTTAATCATTTCCAATTTCAATGAATTAGGTAAATAATAAGAAAAATCTATACATTCCAGTTAAACAAAAAGCATTTAAATAAATTATGTCAAATTATTTTCAACATTATACTTTCCAATTGATAGCATCTCGCATCGCATATAATAATATATGATATCCTCCATTAGAAAAAGTTCTTTAAAAATAGTATAAAAGAAAAATAACTTTCTTTTAAACTTCATTAAAAATCTGTTGTTTCATTTATGTTAAAATCTAGCATATATTATTACATATGACTAAAATAATAGTATGTTGGATGATATAATAATAAGTATATTTAATCTATTAAAATAATATATTTAAAAACGAGCCAATTTCATTAATAACATGACCAGTGTATAGTACCTAATTAGATACGATTCTATGAAAAGAAAGTTCCAAAAATTAGGCTATGCTGTAATGTAAATTAAATTGGTAATTAAATGATATAAGAGCTGGAATCGATTACAATATAAGTTTTCCAATTACTTTTACATCTTTGTTATGATTTTGTACAAAATCGTCAAAAATGAAAATTTTCAAAAAATTTTCATTTTCGTTAAAAGCTCTAAATATTTCTTGTGACTTATTGTTTTTAAACTAAAATACCACACTTTTTTTGTCAATTTACAAATAAATGCGGTAATTCAAATTACAGCACACGAAATAACTTATATTATGTATAATAGGAATAGGAAGATGAGTATCTGTTGTTTTTTTTTAATTAGCTGATGTAACTGGTTCAATCGTAATGTCCATCTTAGTTATTTTAACTATAGACAACTACTAGTATCTATGGAAGGGACTTTCAAAAAGTATAAATACTTCAAACAAATTTCAAATATTCATCAGTCTTCTTTTCATTACGTATGAAAACACTTATTTCATAGTATAATACATTGAGATCTGTATTCACCAAAACTTTGGAAATGGCTGTTAAGGTAAGATTTTATCATTTAATAAAAACTATTTTTAATTTTTGTTTTTATAGAAAAATGCCATAATCATCTTGATTTCACACATTTTTTTCCATATTACCTGTAGACATAACATCATTTTATCAAACATTGTAGACGGCAACGGTACATTTTATATTATATAAAATATAAACTATTTATTATTTCAATTTAGTATCAAATTTAGTATGCAACGTCTATAAACAATATCAACGGAATGTTGTGCACATATAATGATTTGAACATTCGGTAACTATAATATTAATGAATTCACGTAATCCGTCAATACCATTCAAATAATTCGGGTACCTATCTGATCCGAGTTTGGGTTACCGGACTGATTGCTCAAGGTTCATCCGAAAAATAATATCGGCTCTCTTGGATCAGATCAGAGTGTATCGTGCAGTATACGAAACTTCTGAAACGATTACGATGCGAGATTTAAAAATTTTGTTTGCAGTTGATCGTGTTCGCCGCCCTGTTCGGGCACCTGGCACTAGCCTACCCACCTACCATCTCCGAGCACAGCAGTTATGAGACACACTACGACGACCACTACGCCCACGCACCCACACCGTACCACTTCGAGTACGCCGTGAACGACCCGCACACCCACGACATCAAGAGCCATCACGAGTTGAACGACGGACACGGAAACGTCAAAGGCTCGTACAGCCTTCTGGAAGCCGACGGTTCAACCAGGGTGGTCACTTACACCGCTGACCACGAACACGGTTTCAAAGCCGAGGTGAAGAAAATCGAAGCTCCCGCTCACCATCACTTCGACGCCACCAGTTACCACGAGCCAATCTATAGCTCGTACAAACCGTCTTCAAACTTTCACTCATACTGATGCGACGGTCGATTGTAAATTCCATCAAAGGCGCCTTTTGGTTTTTTATTGTGTAGGCATATACATTCCCCAGGTAGGTTTACAGTAGGTTCGAAAAATGTCGTATTGTAACTATTCAAGTCACCGATGTGATACACTTTCAAATCGTACGTTGAAAATATATTCTAGTAAAATAAAACACAATATTTTCTTCACACTTAAAAATTGATTATTATTGGTGTTTTTCTTCAATTGTTGTTCACCTCCAATTCTGTGTAATATAAAACTAGCAATCCATTTTTGTCCTAGGATTTTGGTAAATTAAATCACAAACGTTGTGTACATTTTACACGCTCGCCCAATACGCTTCTATCGTAATAAAAATATAAGCCGTGAGCGTATATGTCTTGTCCAAACACTGTTATTTTCCGATTGTTAACATTTTGTTTTTTTTACATAACTACCTTTTCCTTCAATATGAACTTCTATTGTATAATTTTGTATAGAAATTTAGTTTGTACTTATTGTTTTCCAGCCTAATTATTGATAAATTGCTTTTACGAATAACATTTCATGAATTTCACACTGTAAGTTATTGTTACTCACCTATGTATGATATTTTATTGAAATGTATTTTAATATTATAGAAAAATGTATAATTTTGTTTTTATATATCTTTTAAGAATGATTTCCTACTGTCAAAAATAACTGTCTACTATTAACAATAATTATTGTGAACCACGTAAATACTGTTGATGCGTTTATCTCGTTTTATCTTGTACCTACTCTAGTTGGACTTTATAATATTATTACATCAAACGAGTCACATCATGTTTTTATAATATTTTAACATGAACAAATTTGCAATGTCTTACAAAATACATCAGTGCACAACAATTGACGCTTTTGTGCAATCAATGGTTTAATAGTATACAATTTATTAGCATATTTTAGTTAATACAAAGTAAGTAAATTCGTTTTTTACAAGATACACGAAATTCGTGAAACTCACCTGTAGGGATTGTGTATGCAATACTGGGTAGGTACATATTATTTTCATCGTCTTCGAAGGTATCGTCGTTATTATAATTTATAATGCTAGTTGATAATGAACTATAAAAACTGGTGTGTGATCAAATAAAATGTTAACGATTACCGGAAGGACGAAAACTCGTTTATTGAATAAGAACTTTGCCCCTCAATACCGCCATTGTTGGTTTTTATATTGTATTATCACGGCACAGCTTATTATTCGTTAAAATACCTTGTACACTTCTATGCATTATACCTACCTACTATCATTGTACGACTATATAATATATCATTAGTTCGTAGGAAAGTTACTTTTCTGAAAGCAATGGAGGTATAATAGTCTTACTTCTCACACATCATAAACTTCTTTTAAAAATGAATCATATACGAATTACACAGGAACATGTTTAAGGCACCCATCATACCTATCGGCAAACACATCGAAATTATAAGCAATTAACAATCACACATACGATAATATACCTATGTATGTTAAGGTACGGCTATATAATATACTTAACTCGTTATACGCTAAATCAGAACATAAAATACTGTGTATATCGTAATAACTTATGAGCACGTTACGCGGTGGTTTGAATACCTATATATTTATTATACTCGCACAGTAACTATATGTATATTATTGTGTTGAATAATAACTATAGTAAAAAATGTTGTTTCAATAATACCGAGTAGCTATGCATAATAGTTATTGGGTTAACCGTGATGGTATGATATTTTTTTTAGGAAAGCTCTTGATCCTATAATATTGTAAATAGAGTAACACAAACTATTGTTCTCCAATGTAATTATAAGTTAGATATAGTCCATTTTAAGTCCTAAACCATTCAGAACTAAATAATGAACTTCAACTTAGTATTCATAGTTTAAAGCAAAGGTTTCATATCTAGCCTTTAATGCATTTCAAAGTTGATCAGCGGTCAGCCAGATATCGTGTCCAATTTTTCACTCCACACTCCACTATCCATTACAAACTATATTGTAGCGAATGAACATATATAGTAGTCGTATATTGGCCATTGCAAATGCTGACCCTTTCTTCTCATTTTATATTATGTTTTATTGAAATTGCACTGTACCATATTATTAAAATAATATCATCTTAATATTGGTACATAATATAATGTTATGAATGTTATGAGTATGTTATATCGTATGATATTTTCGTATATAATTGTGGGTCTACTTGTCAAGTTGTATTTTTATTGAAAGGGGAAAGCCTGTTTATTCATAAAAAATTAATATCTACTTAAAGAGCTTCGTTCAGTGATTTACGAACAATCATACACAATCTATTATTAGGTATGCATCTCAGAACAAAATAAAAATGTTTGATTTCGATTATTTATTTTTACCTATGAGCGCATAAAATAATATTACAGCATTGGTTTGTCCCGAGGTGAATGAAGCTTGACGAGTGCCCAATAATAACCAGTCTCTCTGTCCAGTCTGTATAGGATATAAATAGACGTTTTTTAATTTTAAATTCTAGCTACTAGAGTTTTTTGTGTATTAAATATATATTTCTTTATAGTCCCATTATTCTGTAATGATATTTTATTTTAAGGTCATTGCATCGAGTAACTTTTCTTAATACACATAATGTTACATTTTAATTTAATATTTATTAGAATATCGGATTCCTAATATCCATGTTACGGAGTATAAATAAATAATATATTGTACCTTTATGTTTTATGTATTAGTAAATTAGTTATAATATATACTATTCATATTGATTATAATGTTAAAATTATTATAAAAAAATAACATATAAATATTAATTTAACTTGTTTATGAAATACAAGTTATTTTACTTTGTATAAAGCATTATATTTTTAATTTATATCCACATCCAAGTATTGGCAAATGTATTAGAACAAAATAAAAAATTAGATTAAATTGTAAACTAATTTATGAATGAATAATACAAATATTTATAATTAATTTTTACACTTGTAATTCTTGAATAGAATAGTAATAATAATAAGAAGAATAAGTCCAATATTAATTCATTTAAATATACCTAGTTGACAGACATTTTTCAATTTTTCAATCATCCACAAATGTTTTCCACCATTGTTTACTAACCAAAATATATTGCATAAACATATTTAATGGATTAAGATACTAAAATAAACTAGAAGTACCTATATTTAAAAAAAAGTTTAAGATGTTAACTTGTCAAAAGACAACTGTCTTGTGGATAAAATTTTATAAGAAAAACCTTATTAGATTGTATCTACTGATGGCCACATTTACACGGAAAACATATTTTTTTATTGTATGTAAAATGAAGTTGTTATGGAAACGATTCATGTCTTCTTTGTTCTCGATTGAAAACTGATGTTTAATAATACCTATTTTGATTAATTTTTTTTTATAAACGATAATTTTTTATCAGTTTTCTTAAATTTATTTTCTCCGTTGGTCATTGTCACTATAATTAGTATAATTCAATAATATCAGAAAAATACAACATACAATGTTGGTGTCATAATGACTCTAATAATCATTTTGAGATTTATAATAATTATATTTGACTACAGATTATTATTATTCTTTATACAGAAAAGTTTTCGATGGTTAACATTAAAACGGCTTAACTTTGATATTTTTCTTAAATCATCAAATATTTGGAATTATTAAATATTAATTGCTGATAATATCCAATATTATTGATACTATGTATCGAATATTTTCGAATTACAATTGACTAATATCAAACATTGCGGTTTATGTATTTACAGTAATTACGACTATAAAATAACACTCCCTCATACATCCATAAAAAAGCAATTTATATTTTTCATTTTAAGCCCATCGGGTTAATTATTGCAATCAAATATTCTTGAAGCGTAAAGTTCAGATTTAAATACAAATATTGACAATGTAATTGTGACTTACCCGGAGTTCAAAGCATTTTTTTCAGTTATTATTGAATATTGAATGCAATAATGTAGAAAGATCTAAAATAGAAACAAACAAATAATCATTCAATTAATTTATTATTATTATTAAGTTCTTTATGCTTTTTACATAAACTTAAGTTGTATTTGACCCAAGAGTATAAAAAATATTCAATATTATAAAATTTTCACTTTATATCTGTAATTTATTAACGCAAATTGCCCTTAATACAGTTGTACATACAGTTCATCAGATTCACTTTTATAAGTAGTATAGTTTTACACACTTCCCTGAGAGATAGTAAAATGTCTATTAAAATAAAGTAAGTGTATCATTTTAATTATTTTTTAAAAATAATTTCACTTGATTATTATCTTTACTTACTATAATAATAAATTAATATTACCTAATTACATATGAGGAGAGCACAAGATCTGAATACAATTCAAGTTCTGTAAATCAAAACTGTGTTTAATTTAATATTTCTAATACAGCTTACATAAAGATGCTTTTTACATATTATACAGTTATAATTTTTTACATCTAAGCAAGTGACTTCAAAAAAATTTCAATCGGTAACTTTTTTAAATCTCTTATAAATACATGTAATCTCCATAATTCCTGCATAGTTGAGTTTTTTAATTAAATTATCGAAAAATGATCTAAATCGAACGTCTTAAGAGAATCTAAAAATTATCCATCATATTCTATTTATTAATATCAGATTTCATGAACATGCTATAACAAAAATTTTTGTTCAAGAAACAGTATTTATGTAGAGTAATTAAACGGTAGAAAATAACAATATCACAGGAGCAACTGATTTGGGATGACACTCGATTATTGCACTACGCTGAATATAAACTTTATAAAAATTAATAAACAATTAGTTGATTTTAAAGGGGAAAAATCCAAACTGGTATTCAACAAGAATAATGTATATTTATTTACAAATGTACTGTTATTGACTTATGATATTTTGAAATCCTATATGTACAATAAAGTTGTAGTAATGATTGCTTTTATACAATGGTAGGTATACCTATAAAATAAATACATGTTATTAAAAAAATAACTTGTGTACCTTAATGGCGATAACTTTATTAAAAATAAAATAAGCCAAAAGAAGAAGCAGTAACGATATTATGTTAATAGTATTCTTTGAAATTGTATTTTACGAGCGTTGAAAATCGTCAGTTAAAAACCAATAGTTATTCCATGGTACACGGGTTATTAAGTATACATTTAATACATTAATTTATTATTCTAAATAATAATATAAACAAGTATAAAAAAATTGAGCTTACAACTAAATTTCTAAGAACTTATTACTTAATTTGAATAGTTTATAAGTCATAAAGTAATTTATTATACTATAAATAAAGAACTATTCACTTTAAAATAATAATAATACTAAAAATTGTAGGTACTTTGTTTTCTTTATATTAACTTTGTATCTTAAAATTTGTTAGTGAAGCTTATAAAGTCACTGTTTAATTTAAGAAACCTTAAGAAGTCAAGGCAGATCACTATATTTGAGGTTTTAATTTTAGAGTAAGTCGCAAGAAAGTGGATTTGGACGGTTTTTGAACTTGGTTTAATTGTTAGCAAACAACACATATATGCCAATAACTGATTAAAGTCATGTATTAAAATTGAACCTTAGTATCTATCTACTGTAATAGTGTAAATTTAATTAAAATATGAATGAAGACGAGTTGTGGACACATCACACATATAAATGGTTATAATATAGTAACGATACCTATCTTATAGTATGTGCCCCGAAGAAAACACAATT